AAGCTGGTTCCCTGCAGTCAATTGTCAGTGCGTGGTTCTCTCATTTCCTCCCGGGTTTTGGTCTATCACTGACTTTGAGCCCATGAATTATGCCTTTTATCCTTTGCTTTGCTTGGTGAATCCCTTAGGGGCTGCAGCTTGCTGTGCTCTTCTCCTTTTAAAAATGAGGAAAGAGGCAAGGGGCCATTCCAAGATGCGATCCCTTTTTGAAAACTGCAGTTTGGCTCATTTACAGGTGGAGCTATGTATTGTTTTCTATAAGCACACTTTTTAAGCATATAAAAACAAATGATATAAAATGCTTGAACATTGCCTTGTCAAGATAAATATTCAGGGTTTCGCTCTTGAAACACCAGGTACATCACGCAATGCATTCCTCCACATCCCTTCCTAGGAAAGTAAACTTAATTAAAGCCCCAGCCAGCAAATTTTACAGAAGTAAATTATGGTTTGGGACGTACTCATGGATGAATACTATCGTATCCGTAAGATTTGTTGTTAGACCTACTGGAAGCCATGAAGATTAAGGAACAATGCATTTTGATAAATTAGCACTAAAAATACAGTCTGAAAAGCATGTACCATTAGCATTTTCCTCTGGTGATGCTAGCTGGTGTTAATCCATTCACTGTTTCTAATTCTCTGGCAGTGGCTTAACTGAGTGTTTTTCTGTGGCAACTGGTCAGGCATGAGTGTTCCATCTGAGGTCCCAGAGCTGAGTGATGCTAAATGACCCTAACAGACATGGTGTTTCATGTTTTCCTCCCTATGCTGTGCTCAGGAGAAAATCAGAAAGTGGAAAATATGAATCTAAGGTAGTTAAAATCATTTGTTATCATTTTGTCCAAAGACCTCACATTTTTTAGTTCAGCATATTAATCTATACCTTAAACATTCCATTTTAGAAAACTGGTCTATAGCATTGAAATGTTTCATATCAATTAAACATTTTGGCATTAACATATTTTTACGTTAACTGAATAATCTGGGCCTCTTGAGCAACAAGTGCAAATGTTGATTTTGTTTTCATTTAAAAAGCTGTGCTAGATACCAGTGGTTTCTTTAGCAGGAGTTTCTAATTAAAGTTACAAGGAAATGCTTGTTAAAATAGAAATCCCTGATAATTTCTAGCACGTGTTAAAGTCTAAGAATGAGTGTTTTAATATGGAGAAAGGTATTTGCTGATAAAATGGTGTTAAGCTAAAAATTAGACAAGTAGTAATATTAAAAACCAAAAGCTACATGTTTCTTATTTTACTGACCTCTCACTAGGCTGCCCATTTGGTGGGATGTTCATAATTTCCCAGGGACAAGCCATTTCTCAATAATGAGTTTGCTTCCTACAATAAAGGTTTTGTTCAATAAAGCATTTCTGCTTCATTTATGTTTTCCCCGTAAAGCATTCCAAATGAAAGGTTAATTTATCTGGGACTCTCGATCACCCCTAAAAGGAAGTTCAAAGTTAAAAAAAAATTAATGAGTTTTCAGGGCTAGCTGTATCAGTATTACCCGGAAGCCATAAATAGCCAGATAAGATCACCAATGATGGGCTCCTGGAGAGTGGCCAGTGCAGCCACCCTGAAGAGCCCTGGTCTGCCTGGTCCTGTGCAGGGAATGAGCACCGGCGTGACATTTGGACAGCTGCTCGGTGATGACCAGAGTCAGTAAGTGAATCACAAGGTGGGAAGGTTAGAGAAAATGCCTCAAAGAGTGCATGAACTCTACCTCCAGCTTAGCTTCAAGTTTCTGCTTCACAAATGTGGCCTAAATATAAACTAGTTGAGAAGCAAACAGAAGGTAAGCCAGCCTGTGAAACAAGGGCTTTGAGATACGGGAATCTGAGAGGCAGCTGAGGACAATGGCAGGATCTGCAAAAGCTATGGAGAAAAATGAAAGGACAAATACACAACGTGGAAGGTATCATTGCATCGTTATTAGATTTTTCAGGAATCAAGAGGGTGATGGAAAACACACTGGTTTGGGGAACAAAAGACCCAGGTCTCTCCCACGCACTGTCACCAAGGGATCCTAAAACACTAGGCAAGGTAAATACACTCTCTTTGAGAGGAAATAGTTAAGTGATTTCTAAGGTCCCTTTGAAGTGTAATGTGATATTCTAAGCTTACAGTACAGTGACTGTCATTGGTACTTCAAAGTCATCTTTTAATTAATGGAAATGTGTATATCTCCTTGTCTTTGTTTGTCTACACCGATGAACTGCCAAGAGGATTAACCACATTGAAATGAATTCACAGCAAAATCAATTACTTTTTGACATTATTTTTTTCATTTAACTCTTCTATTGATATTACCCAACCTCCTTAATTTACTTTTCCTTTATCTTGTATTTTTCTTTATAAATAATACATATTATTTTTTCCATCTAAAATCTAAATGTATAAAACTCAACTACAAGTATGCAAACCAAAATATTATGTCCTTCCTATTCTGGAAATGCAGTCTAGACAAAAAGTCAATTTACAGGATTGAGTTTGATTAGGCTGGTGCTTGCCCAAACCCTTAGTATGGTGAAGAAGAGGCAAGATTGAGAGTGGGACGAAGGTAGGGAAGAGAGACATGACTCATAATATTTATTTAGTTTGTCATAAATTCCCAAAGCATAAAAATATCCATTACAAAAGGTTAGTAAGATATACATGGCTAAGGAGAGAGGAATGGCTTGAGGTCACTCTGTTAATTGGGAATTCTTTTTCTGTGCATCAGCTTGGATCAAAATATTCAAACAGACTTAAAAAGAAATTTGGGTCTTTGGAGACCAGTAATGCATAGAAAAGAAAGCTTTTTAATTTGTGCCGTTTACCCTCTCCCTCTGAAAGGTGTGAATCACTGCTTTAATAGGAAATCCCAAATGAATGTTAAGCCCTTCTTTGCATCTAAGAAATGATGGTAACATATTGCTAACAATGCGTCAACAGTGGGAGGATTCTGGAGGTTGTGTGGGGGGACTTGGAAGTCAAGTTCTTGAGTGGTTTTCTATTATTTCGTGGCAGCACAGATGGATCTTCTAAAATATTAGAGCAGGGCCCCATATCTTGGTTACAAGTTTTGTGGCATCTTAAAACCTAAGATTGTCTCTCTTATTGCCTAAAATTAAATCATTACAGACAAATTTCTTTTGTGTATGACCTTTATTTTGGGGCCCAGAAATTCTTTTGGAATCAAAATAACTCCTATGAGAGATAGTATAGAACTGTACTAGCCGTTGATGTCTTTTCAGGGATTGATTAAATAAAATTATTACGGATTTAAGAGTAAGATGTGAAAAAGGAGAACTATATTTTAATGTGGAAGAGAGTAAGCAGAGTTTGGCTTCTCTGAAATCTTTTTTCTGTTTATCTCAAGGAAAACAATAATTATTGCTCACACTCTTGTCATAGCATCTTGTGTGTAACAATATTATAATGCTAAAATATTATATGACATGTACTAAGTAATATGTTCTCATATTTGTATCTCCCATATGAGAAATGATGCCCTCAAGGATGGAAAGCATGCCTTTGTACCTACTCCCACCCCCCAGTTCCTGGCTGGCATGTGGAACACATGCAATAATTGCTTATTAAACCAAAGTCATTATATTTATTTTACAGCCCTTTTAAAATAATCCAGACTTATTTTTTAATAGAAATCAAACATCTGGAGTAAAATAATTTCACTCTTTTCTAAAGTTAGTGGTAAAATCTATTAATTAGTATTAGGATTGCGGCTAAGTCTTCATCATAATTTAACTTTGGTTTCTAAGATCAGATATATACCCAAACTTTAGTCCTCCCAAGATCATGGGGTAAGAATTTGTGCGCAAGAATATGACTGCATCTCCTAACCACCTCTCTATTTGCTTTACACTCTTGCCAATCAATTTCACTTTAGAATTTGAAATGTTACTGACAAGACAGCAAAATCAATACCACTATCCATAGAGAAAGCCCCATTTGATGCTGATAATAATGCCTAGTAGCCAATGAGGTTAATGAGTGAGAAGGATCACTTAGGGCATAGCAAGCAGTCAAAAACCATATTAAATAAAATTAAAAACAAATTTAAAAACTTTAGTATGTAACTAGTATTACTTGGTGATTCTAATATAACGGTGTATTAGAATACTTACAAAACAATTTCTCTGAACAAGTCAAAATGACTAGTGAATGTTAGAGTGTGAATTTTCAAAAGATCACTGTGAGAACTTCAGAAAATAGTAAATTAAGTAGGGAAGAATGACGAATAACTTGTCCCATGTCAGTGGTTTGGCTGGAACAAAGTCCTAAGTCCATGTCTCTTCTGATGGAATAGCTTGAACTCTTGGTTTCCAGCATGAAAGAAATTTCCAAAGGAAGTGTAATCTTATGGTTTAACAGGAGCATGGCTCTGAGGGGTCCTAACATTTTTTAAAAACACAACCTCTTGGTATTTAAAATGACTGGGAGTAGAAGCAAAATGTTGAACAATTTGACATATACTGAAATCACTGTACTTGAACATGGTACAACATTTTCAAGTTATAATATCCATTTAGTCCTTAGTTGAGAAATTTTTGTCAAACATTATAGGAGCCTATGTTAGGCACTAAGAATATAAGATGACTGACACAGCCCCCTTCCCTTACAATCCAGAGGGAGAAGTAGACAATGAGTAAGTAATGCCACAAATACCCTAAGGTTGCAGTTCTGAAACAGGCTAGAAATCAGGGTACTGAGAGCTAAGGTGTTAGTTCCCCCTCCATGACTCATGGGTCCAGGAGAGGCCTGTGTCAGGTGGGGCTCCTATTTAAATAACACTGATGGCCCTCACTGTAGGAAACCGTGTCATAGGGTAGCTGTGCGATAAATGGTCACTAAAAACAATGAAGAAAAACAAAAAGGCTAAAAATGCAAAAATATCCAACAAGAAACACAAATATATTTCAATTACACAATTAATACACAATTAAGAAAAAATACACAATTAAGAAAAAAAGTAATACTAACATGCTGTGTTCTTACCCCTATTGTTCCAAAACTTTCAGGCTTTCTCCTCATCTTTTTCTTGCACAGGTGTGTCCATATCCATTTGATCAGGTACCAGAGAGACTTGGGGCTTGGGATGACATTGAAGGGAGTAGGCAGAGTACCACCTTCTTCAAAATAACTCATCCAAAGCTTTGTTCTAGCGAATTTCCATTCTATATCTGCATGGTCCTGAATGGGAGAATATGACAACTGCTGACAGGTTTCTTAATTACTAAGGTGATATAAACTTCACAAAGAGCTTATAACTTGACTTGGAGCAGCTCTTGGAACATTAATTAAATTGCTTATAAAATCAAGGCTGACTCCAAGCGATAGTCATCTAAACATTTCCGATGATGGTTTACCCTGGTAAAGAGTCAGCGCTCTTGTCAGGTTTTATCCTTCCTTCTTCCATGAAACAGACATCTAAAAGAATTCCGTGTTAAAGAGACTGCAGCGATCAGTTATGACTTGAAGATGAATTTTCCTTTCCCACACTGTAGGCTTACATTAATTTGCTCAGCTGCACTAGATTCTGGCCACAAACAGGCCTTTATGTCTTACCCAAGGCCTAGAATTCCTGTCTAGGTGACTGCCACCTGCATCGATGCTCATGGCTTAGCCTTCTAGTGTTTCTAGGAAAAGTCTTAGTTGATATGTTTCTGTGTGAATGATTCTTGTCCGCCTTTAGGCAAGAGGCACAAATTCAGATAGAAGTTCCTCTAACAAATGAAGAATAAGGCCTCTGACACAGCATTGAACCCTGATAGGAGCTTGTCCAAATGGCACCAGATAGGAGTGTTATTGGCGGCTGCCTAAAATGTATGTTCTAGGATTTCATTTTACATTTAAGGATTTTAGGATACATTTTAGGATTTCAAAATAGCTCATTTTAACCCATTAATATTAGAAAGAAGAACTCAGATTTTAGAGTAGGAGCATAAACTTAGACTGTGCTTCCCTCAAGTATTTCTAAATGGCTATGTGCTAATGAATATCTGTGTTGTGTATACATTTCTACTCTGAGCAATAGAGATGTTTTGTCTAGACACTGGACAGATTGTGCTTTCAACAGAAAGAGCATATCTAGAAAATGTGTGGCCCTCGTTGTTGCTTAGCAAATGTTTGATGGGTTTGACCGATCAATAGACAGAAGCACAGAAGCTCCAATCTGCCCTCCCTCACCATTCTCCCCACTTCCTCTCTTTTATTTCTCCCACCTTCCCTAGCTTTCTTTCTAAACAAGCTTATAGATTCTGCAGTAATGAAAAAAGGTATTTATTATTTGCTGTAGTCATGGAGAATGGGAGTCAGCAGAATTGGCTTAAGGTCATAAAAAGGCTATCACTTTGATAAAATGTTGGCCTGTGAGTAGATTCTGTTCCTTCCAATTCTCCTGGAGGCACAAATTAAGGATTATTCTGACCTCATTATGTTCTCTTATAGCTATCACAAAGCAGACTCTTCTTTTGTTTATGGTTTGGAATTCTGAGAGGGTCTATAACAAAATCTATAGCAGAAAAACTGGAAATGAAATGTTCTATGCTGATGATGCCCCAAACCACCGTCTGTTACCCAGGTGCAAATCAGAGTTGGCATGTTCATGCTCCAAGGAGCCATCATGCCCATGATGCTGAGAGGTACACCCGTCTCAGGTTCTCAGTGCCTGTTCTCCTCTCAAGTAGTTTTAGAGTTAAAACTCTTTAAGAAGTCACCTAGAATAATACATCCCATAAAGAACCCCCCCCAAAAGTCATACTATTCTTGATGTTCTCTTCTTGATGAAATCAATACATTTGATGTTCTATAGGATCCAAATTGTATATATAGTTTCTCTATATGTAGCTTGATAATTAGAGACTTTCTAATTTTTTTTGGAAGGGAGGTCTGGAAAATAGAATCCATGTTTTGCAAATGTGTTGACCAGAGAAATACAGAACTTCGGAAGCAATTACATAGTGACTATCTTAAGAAAGCCATACTTACAAGATGCTTAAATGAAGCTCCACAAATTCATATATTCACCTGCAAATCCTAGGACCCTGGTATATCCTATGTAAATACTTAGTTTGTGAATCAGTAGATAAAAAATCATCTATTCTTGTGTTTTATGCAGTTTTTCATCTGTGACAGGCATCTTGCCCGCATAAAGATAGTTGAAGTAAAATGCAGAATGCTGCTTCTCAAAATAACTAATAACATTCCAGCAGTTTAGCAATAGACACAAAGATGCAATATAATTGTAGCTATTTAAAGAGATAATTATGGTTATGAATTATGCTTATAAAATGCTACTTGTATCAGGTATAAATACAAAAGACCTAAATGTATTTTATTCCAGTATGGGTTTGTTCTGTTGCTATTGCTAATGGCCATTGACTCCTGGGAAGTTCAAGGAAGACAAAGGGCTTTGCCTTTCTTATTCATTGCTGTATTTCTAGTTCCTAGAATAGTACTTGGCAACAGAAGAAGTTCTCAATAAGAATTTGTTGAATGAATGAATAAATAAACTAACTTGTTTGGATTCTAGAGTTTCAAATAAGTGTATATGGTACTGTATACCCTGTTGTAGAATCCAATGTTACTCCTACATTGCTTTTTCTGGATTTAAGAAATTGAAAATCCTGTGCATTTTTCCCTCAGACTCCCCTCAAGGCTAGCTTTTCTATCTTGCCAGGCTGGCAGGAGTTTGTTTATACCTAGACTGAGGCTCAATGGTCGGAGACAATGCAGAGTGCAAAGGGTGTTGCATAGAGATAAGCCACTTGTTCATAACTCATCCCTCCCCCAGTGCTTGCCATCACCAATGACTGCCTGTAAAGATAGATTCCATTTATTTTATAATCTTTCATAATCTGACAAAACTAAGTTAGTATGTAGCCAAATATGGTACAATACTGTTTAGAAACTTCAAATTAACCATTCATATTATAATTCTGTTCTGTCTCCTCAGTAGCCTATTAGAGACTGTTTTCTATGATAAATAGGATAGAGTATGGATAGAAACAACACATTCTATGGGGAAATGTGGAATTAAAATAAAGTTAATCAACTTACAGCAATGAGTTGGTAAGAGTTATTCATCATAGCTATTAACATGTTGAGTAGGACAACCAGAGAGATGACATTGTACGTCCCAAACATGGTGGCACCCACAAACTCAGTGAATTCATGCTGTGCTTTGACATTGGTCACATATAAGTTGATCAGCCCAAATATTGACCAAAACAGGGACTGGAGCGTCTCAAATAATCTGGAAAAAAAGAGAAAAGGACACTAATAGCTATATTAATAGAACTATTATACAATAGGTTATAACAATAAAATTGATTCCTATTACATGTATTTGCTTAATTTAACAATTAAACTTAATAAAAGATATTAAAAATTACAAAATTAAACTTAATAAAAAGAATTAAAGAAAATTATTTTCATCATATAGCCCAAATAGTGTACTTCATTTTCCTAAGAAATTCGAAAGCTATTTAGTTTCTTAGAGGAGGAAATTTGACGCATAGCCCGTTTTTGCCTGACTCCTGAGGTAAGAATGGTTTTTGCTCTTCAAATGGTTGGGGAAAAGAGCTATTTTATGACTTGTGAATATTTTATAAATTCACATTTCAATGTCCATAAGTAAAGTTTTATTGAAACACAGCCACAATCATTTATTGATGCATTGGCTATGGTTTCTTTTGTGTTAAAATAGCAGAGGTGAGTAGTTGCAACAGAGAACATTGGGCCTACATAGTCTAAAATATTTACTATCCTTTTCACAGAAAGCTTGCTAACCAGTGTTGTAGGGCATTGATAGCTAATCAATGATACATCCTCAAACTTAGTCTTTGAAAGATGTCAGTGCATTCACATGGTTTTGCTTCTTGGTTGTAGAAGGACTAAAAATTATGTTATCGTTGTGGATTTCCACAATTACAGTTAAAGTTGTACATAGTGAATCCTGTAAGATGGCAAATGTCAGAATGCTCAGGTAACAAAATTTGCTATTCTTCCTATTTCAGGGAACACTTAATTCATTCCTGCCAATGAATGAACGCTGGTGTTTTATTGAAAGTTTCCTTAACTTACTCCAGGAAACAAAATCAGATAAAGAGTGTCTGAACCTAAATGAAGAACGGTTTGTTTCAGCAGGACCATCATCTTAGTGTAATGTAACCAAACAATAAAGAATTTTTACACTCTTTGACAAATGGTTAAAATAAAACTTTAATCACATTATATTGTAAAAACAAAAACAAAAACTATTCTCATATCAGTCATGATGACTAAGGAGGTAGGATTTCAGAAGTCAAGTGACCCAAGGAAAGCCAATCCATACGAGGCCAGGGGTTAATGGCATGGATTGATAAGAAAAAGATGAACCTACACTATCAGATTTCCTTTCTATATAAATTTACCTTAGAAAAACCAAGAGAATGAGGAAGTTGCCCAAAGGAGCCAAAATGACAGGAATTATGAGAAGCTAAAAGTGTTAAGACAGCACAAATGAAGGAACTGAAGAGAAATAAGCCAGGTAATAAATAAGTAAACACTGAAGAAAATAGACTTGGAATAGATGACTCAGATTAACATGGGTTCTCAGAGTAAACGATCTTAGAGTCCAGGCCTATGTCATCTCCTACTCTTCCTGAAGCCAGGCCTGGCTCTAGATTCTGCCCCTGCTAAGATCAATCTTTGCTCAGAGGATCAAAACGCTATAATCTTGTGCATGATTCTTAGACCAAACTCCTGTTCCTTGAAACCTTCCATGAATTTCTGGCCTGTATAAGTAGGTGAATCTAATGATCTCTTAATTGGCATTCAGGACTTCTCTTCTTGAGTTTATTGCTTTTAAAAAAAGTAAACAGGGGGCACCTGGGTGGCTCAGTGGGTTAAGCCGCTGCCTTCGGCTCAGGTCATGATCTCAGGGTCCTGGGATTGAGTCCCGCATCGGGCTCTCTGCTCAGCCAGGGAGCCTGCTTCCCTCTCTCTCTCTCTCTCTCTCTCTGCCTGCCTCTCTGCCTACTTGAGATCTGTCCCTGTCAAATAAATAAATAAAATCTTAAAAAAAAAATAAAAAAAGTAAACAGTTTCACATTTTTAATTGTTTAATTAAATTTTAATTATAAAATATGTAATTATTTATTGATTTATTTTGCTATACCTATTCAACAGTGGAGCAAGTTATCATAAAATGATAAGGGGCCTGATCTGATCAACTTCAATAAGACTTTGTTTTGCCAGCGGGCATGTGCATCGTGTGAGGAGCTGAACATGTATTCCTTTTTTTTTTTTTTTTAACATGTATTCTTAAAGGCCAACCCAGATGTCAGATTCTAATACTATCAGGGAAAGTTTAATCTAATTCCTTGGCCCTAGGCAAAGGTTACTCTAAGTTATTCTTTGAAAACTTTCTCAGGAAATAAGTAAATTTGATCAGGCCATAAGTTTTTAATTTTTAGTAACTTTGAGGACAATTTCTAAAATTAATGACACTGTCATTTGGATTCAATGTAAGATAATTTTTTTTCTTTCTTTCTAAATGGTATGAGTTCTCACCATGAATATACAAATATAATTCAGCTGATTTTCCCCTGGTATCAATAGCAGTTCAGAGAGAGAGCTGGAAGTTACATAATGTAAGTGCTATAATAAATTATATAAAATGCCACATAAATCCCATAACAGTTGCTTTTTTAAATGTTCAAATAAAAAGTGTTATATAAAATAAATTGATTGCTATGGTTGAATAATACTGATTTGCCTCTGTCTAAAAAAGAACTACTAATTATTAGAGAATATTAGCCAACCCTTCATCAAAACATTTATTTAGGTTTTTAATTAGAATTTGAAAAGAAGAACATTCAAAATAAGGTGCATCTTGTGACCAATTCTGGATTTCATTTTTATTTTCCTTTTCTTTTCTTTTTTCTTCAGTGAAATGAATCAAAAGTGAGATGTGAGAATAGTTCCACTTAACCAAAATGTATTTACTATTAGATTAATTAAGACCTTAGTATTAAGACCTTAGTGTTTCTTATTCATATTTTTATGTTAATTATTATTTAATTATAAGGAATAAAAAAAAGCAATCTAAGTTGACATTTTAAAGCCACTGCTTCTAGAAATGCTTCCACCATTAGTGATTCCCAAAACTATCGATAGCAAGACTGCCCATAGATTGAAAGGTCATTAGCTGCAGTGCATCTCAGACTACCTTTATGTGACAACTATTTTCCCAATTCTTGGGTGAGATAAGGACAGAGGGGTTCTGAGGATAAAACCACACTTAATTAAATAATTCTTAGCATAAAGTCCTAGTTGATTAGACCCTGACAATTTCTATGGTTTGATTCTATAGCATTATCTTCCTAAAGATAACATTTTTGTCTCTTGCTCCTTAAAGATATTTCTCAGTTGCTACTTTAAAATACTAGCTTGCTTCCCAGTTAAATACTTATAACTAGATAAACAGAGCAAGTAAAAAGGTAATAATATTCCACAGTTGAGGTTTCCCCCTACCCTTTGAAATGGAAATGATGAGACATAAATTAATATAAGACACATCTGGCTATTTTATTCTTGGTTTATAAGGAATAATGCAATTAAAACAAAAGAAGTATGCTTTCAGTTGGCCAGTTCCAATTTTGAGGAATATACCTTCAATAAACATAAAAGGAATTTTCTTAATGAGCCAACATCTGTCATAAAGCCCATGGCCCTCTCTTCACAAGAGTCCCTTAACCAGAGACTACTAATTTAAAATTGTATGTAGAATAATGGCAGTGACTAAATATTTGGTTTTCTTTTTTTCTTTCTTTTTTTTTTTTTTTTGGAAGCTCAAATGTAGATATTTAATTAGAAGGAGAAAAAAAAAACAACAAACCCATACCAAACCGTGAATTTTGAAAAGCTGACAAATATTCCCAAATCAACTATTTTTTGTTTTCTTTGGTATCATGCAGTTCTTCCCACGTTAAAGAGAAAACAATCTAGAAGCATGAAAAGAGTAGAAAAAAAGTGTCTATTCTCTGGTGGGGAAATCGAAAGAGAGACACAGAAAACACAGACCGGGCTGTGTCCACTGGGAGCTCACAACAGTCAGGAGGGGATCAGGAAGACATCCTGGAAAAGGCACATCTGAGGTAGGATTTGGAAAGCAGAAGACAATTTTGCCGTGTGGAAAGGACATTCTGGGGTGAGAGAAGGATATGGCATATTTGGGGATTGACTGGTAAATGCTGAAGAGTAAACTGTTTTGCGGGGGATAGAGAAAGATGAGGCTAGATAAGGAAACAAGGAGCAGATCATTGAAAGACCTGGTATGTCATGCTAAGGAATTTGGCAGTGTCTGGTAAAGAATGAGAAACCATGTAGACACTTTAAATGGAGGAGTATCATAGTTCAGAAAGATCACTCAGGGAACAAGATGAAAGACATATAAAAGAAGGCAGAGGCCAGGAGTAAGGAAACTTTGATTTAGGCATGGGTGGTGAGCAAGGGAAGATGGCGCCAGGATAACGAAGAGCAGGAATAGACACTATTGACTGCATGTGGAAGGGTTGGGGAGGGAAAGATCTAGAATAAAGCAAAAGTTTCTGATTTAAATTTCTGGGTGAGTTGTGATAGTACTGACTAAGAAAGAGCACTAAGGAGGAGGAAGAACAAATTTTTAAAGAGACTGAGAAATTTTCCTTGGATTTAAATTTTTAGGAGAGATGAATGGAAAGGCATCCATAGGACAGGCGGACTTACAGGTATCAGGGAGAGAGGTCTGTGCTAGTGATAGGAATGTAGGAGTCATCCCTCAAGACATCTGGGGCTGCATCCATAAGCACACATGAGTTTTCACAGAGATACTATAATATGGTCTGAGCATGGTCACAAAGACGATCACTATTTAAAAGCAATAAGTGAAATATAATTATCAGAGAACAGTGAGAAAAATTTGAAGAGTAAGAGACACAATATAAAGACATAGTAACATTGGAATTAAAGGAGGGCAAGATTTCAAAAGTGAAAATGTTAAAAGGGTCACACGATGCAGACACATTCAAAAAGCTTTAAAGAGATACATATCCCTTGACAGGGGGGATATGGAGGCTCTAGATATTTATAGAGCAGTGTTAGTGGCCTGATGGAAGCAGCAGCCAAACTGCAATTGGGTGAAGAATGGATAAGAAGAAAACAAGGTATCTTGTTCAGGCTTCTTTTCAGGATTGTTTGGATGTAGGGAAGGAGGGTGACAGGGGTGGAAGCTAGTAGGAAACACAGGGCTCAGAGTTTCGGCTTACATTTGCACCCTGGATGGAAGGAGTAATAAAGAGGCACCAGGGAGACATAGGTAGGAGATATTGTTCTGCCACTACTGATAATGATAAACAGATGTAGCAATTTTTTTATTATCATATTCTATAGCAGGCACCGTATTAGGTGCCTTACATGAAGTATTATGTTTTTCAATCCTCAAATGGAATAAGATCTCTGAGATGGTGGATAGTAAAACAAAACAAAACAAAAAACCTTTGGAATTTATGGAGTAATATAAATTATAAAAAGAAATTAATAAAAAGAAATTATAAAAAGAAAATCGAAGACCAACAAAAGCGAAGAAATAAGCTGTAGAGGGCTTCGCTAGACATCTTCTTGCAGTGACTGGACCCATTATACTGAAACAGGGTGATCAAGGGACAGGTATGCCTGTCTCAGACATTCTATATATTCTAATGTATTAATTATACCAAGAATTATTGCTATATTTTTTAGTTTTTGAATAAAATAATCTGTTGTTTGCCGATTTACATTCCATGACCTGGGGAAAAAATTCAGGTAGAATATCTGATTAATTTGGGCTGAATGATTTGGACCTATAATATTTGAGATACGCAGTTATCTGTTGCTTTTCATGACCATAGAAGACCGTTGGCAGGCACACTAAAATAATACACGATCCAAGCAATTCAATACATTTGCTTCTAGAATGCAATTTATACTAGATATTTTGCCTCAGGCTTCCATAGCAATGACAGAGAATAAAATTTGTTCATAATATGTAAACATTTACCACAAAACCAGTAATACAACAATGTGATTCCTGGGAGCTCAGGGATCATACGTGAGGATGGGGTTAACTGCAAATGATCAGATGTCTGAGAAGGGGCTGAGTCTTGGAACCAGGACTCTTCCCTGAATGAAACACAATGTGGGAGGTAACTCAGTTCTAGGTGCTGTGTGGAGGAATACAACACACGTAGAAAATGCGGGGGGTGAGGGTGGGGGGTCTTGGCCAGCGGTTTGCATAAGGGCACGCAGTGCAAAGTGACAAGAGAATTGGGAAAACCGGGGTAAGGAGAAGGGCTCTCCATCAGAAATCAAGAGACAGACAACAGAGAGTGAGACAGACAGCAGAGTATCCAGGATGTTTAAGTCGGAAGCCTGAGGTTGGCGGGATCTGACCGTTGTAAATCCCTGGTCTCAGCTGTCAGGAGCAAATGACCACATCAAGGAGCACAAATGAGTGGGGAAAGATTAAGTTCAGGTATCAACACTAAGACACAATCCAGGGCCTTGCTAGTCACAAGGACGTTGCTGCAAGAGGTTTCAGCAAATCCCTCCTGTCCCGGGTTGGAAAAGGGCATGAGGAAAATGACAAGGCTGAGTAAGTCAGTCAGGCTGGAGAACTCCTGGCTGAGAGCAAGGGATGAAAAGATAAGGGGAAACTTCAATGCCCTTTTGTTTCCTCTATGACTCAGGGTTTGTATCAAATCTATTTCTGGAAGGATCTGAGGCAGCTAAGGCTGAGATTAAAATTTTGTGTGCGAAGAAGCTGATGTGGATTACTTAAAATGGCGTTTTAAATATTAGGATCAAAGATAAACCACACAGAAGTGAATCAACAAAAATACTGTAGCCATAAGTGACTTAGTTTATATGAAAGAATTGATTTTTCCTACTTGAGAAATTATTGCACTTGCTTATTTAACATGAAATTCTATAATGGCCAATGAATAGAGTCTGATTTTTTTAGTCACCTACAAAATGAACATGTATTGTTTAGGTATTGTGTAGAGGAACATGACCTAACTTCTTCATTCATCTGCTAAATAACTGTTTATCACAGTTGTCTGGTGATCATAGTGGGAAGGAAATGGACACAGGTGTGCAGACTGTGTGAGCATCAGACATAGGGCCATGAACCCATGCTGTCAGCAAACCTGCTTGAGAATGACCAGAGGTTGGCACTGAGTGAGGACTATCGCTCACCAGGTATAAGGGCACAGAGTTTTGTGTGCATAATTATAGTGGCCTAGGTTAGCCCGGGGTTCCTATTTTGGATTATTTCTCCATGCTTAGGGGTGTGTGTGTGTGTGTGTGTGTGTGTGTGTGTGTGTAATTAGAGAATAAAGAACATGTAAAGGGACTTTCCTATCTGGAAAACATGGAAAGCTCAAGAAGCACTGGAATTTTCTCACATGATTGGCCTTATGTATATTCTATCTTTTAACGAGCTTGTAAGCTGTCAGTAGGGCAGAGGTTTCCTCTTTATTTCTCATTTTAAAACTGAATATATAGCTTTCCTTTATATGAGGTCATTTTAAAAACCATTTTACTAAAACTTAAAATAAATGTTCTGGATATATATGTATTTTAATGTCAGAAGGATCCATTCATTCACAGCCACGTTAATTCTGTTTTCTGCATTAAGCACAATTTTCTTTGCAACCACTTATCATGGTTCAAATTCATAATGTAATGCCCTCTGAATTCTGCACAATGTTACCAATAAAAGCATCTGTTCAACTTACGTTGAAAATGCATTATTCTGCTTTTCACATCGTATGCCTTTACAGCTTAACCCTTTTGTTTCTTCATAATAGAAATACAATTGATTTAGGCCATTTGCAAATGCTAGCAACACAAGGCAGTATATGAATAGAAACTTCAAAATGTCCAGGAGCATTCTTCCCAGAGATATTTGCAGAGGCCCCAGATGAGAATTTGCAGTAAACAGCGAGATCAGGCGCAAGGAACTGAAGATGTTCGCGATGGCAAATAAAGCTTCAGCCACCAGGGTGGGATGCCACATGTCCCAAGATTCTCGTGGGTTAAGTGCACTGTACTGGAGAAAAAAGAGAAACACAGGGAAAATAAAACAAACGCATACATGTGACTATGTCAAGTTCAGGTCTCAATGCTTTTACAGGTAGATGCAGCAAGGTGGCCTGTCGTCCTTCATGATGGTGGCAGCAATATTCATCTACACAAAAACAAGAGTTTATTAAAGACATTTATAATGTATAAGCTTTAATCAAGGTGGCCTTCCTGGTCTGTCCTTGCCATTGTTAATATGTGAGTTACGTCTAATCTTGACCTTTCCGATTGAACTTTATAAAAAAGAAAAGAAAATGTTACATTGAAAAAAAGCTGATTTTATATGGGGGAAAGACAGCAACGTGATAACAAAGAAAGCTATGTTATAAAGGCAAACTAAATTTTGAACAAAATTATCAATGGTTTTACTTATTATATTTGACACATTTGCCTAGTCTAGATGAATGCATGTGGGATATAAATTACAAATAAATGAGTGGAAGTACTGGTCCCTTGCCCTGGAATAGTAATGACCAGTATGGGCATAACTGTCAGTGCTTTCTTTGTATCTGTTATATCCTAAGTGCAGATAAAACCCAACTTGGAAATCATCCTGGAAGTCAATGGGTTATTAATTATTTTAATTTAACATGTAGAACACATGATATTTGTTAGAACATTCCCTAATTAGATAAAATATGTGATTTGAGAGAAATATTTGCTATTTTATTAAACCTTGACTAGCAATTATTTAAAAAGTAAGACTAAGTTAATTAAAATGCCAGCTTTGAATTATCTTGACACTGTGCTATACAAAGAGCAAAAAGAAACTCATCCTTTGTATTACTGAGGTAAATTTATATCATTTTTTAAAAAGGATCAAATATGCTCTTTGAAATACTGTTGCAGAATCTATGATTAAACCTGTGTAGGAACCAAACAATAAATTGAATTCTTTTCTTCATACACATCCTTAAAAAATATGTCCAGACAACTGGCTATTTTTCCTAATAATCATGTTAGAACAAACAGTTCTTCTGTATGAGTCCCATCAGAATATCAGAATATTTCCATTCCTATTATATTGCATTTTATACCAAAGACCTTTACAAATGTTAATTGATTCTCTTGAAACTAATAGATAGTATTTTTTTTAATCTCCCTGGGGAGAAAATACATAACGAGCTTCTGATTTTGTTTAACACTCAGAGTCTTGCTTGAGTGACAACTTAAAACAATCAAGTTTGAGCTAGAGGGAAATTATTTTCTATTTTTAAATGCTGATAACTGTTCTTGAACATTGCTAACTTCACCATAAAAGAGCTAATCACTGAAGATGCATAAGCATTTGAAAACTTATTTTTTTATTCATTATAACAAGTATCAAGGCGAGGGTTTGTGGTATCAACCACTACCTAATTCTCTTCTCTTGGTCGCCTCATATACAGGGCACCTTTTCCTTCAAAGTCTAAAATCACCTTCACCTTTTTCTCACTTCTCTTGAAAGACACATGTTTAGGTAGAGAACATCTCCCCTCACCCTTGCATCGATGAGTAATTCTCTATCTCTCTCCCTATGCTAAATATGACACAGTAAGCATTCTTAAGGATGTGATCATTTACTCGGAATTCCTTATGGCGTTTAACACAATGGTGCATGCAATGGGTACCCAAGAAACATTTTCTTCCATTGAATACTTTTTGTCCACTGAGGATGAGAGGGACATCTAATAATAAAAATGCTCAAAGAGATTAACACAAAATGCTGTGGGAATAGAGAAGAGAAAGTGATAAATTCCATCTGGGGCTGATGGGGCCGGAAATGAACAGAGATTACGTGTTGTTCAAGCTTTCAGGGCCCTTTGAAATGATCCAGGCTTCTGGAGATCTGTTCCGTGTTTTCGGTCTCGCAGGCACTGGGCTCAGTGGGATATAGACTCCATCACCACAGGGTGACGTGGTACTTCGGGTCCCTTCTTAGCAAACTGTCTCAGCTGGGACTTGCAAAATCAAGAGGAAGGCTTTCTATTTTATAAATCACGAGATGCTAGATTCTGCCCCAGTATAGTCACCCAAGTCTGCTTCAAAGTCTAGCACTTCTGGTAATTGTTGGGAAACAATGCTCTGTGAATATGTTCACATTTATGCATGGTCAGGGCTTCCTGAGCAAAACATTGCATGGCTGTTAAAAGATGTCTGAATGGCAAATAAGCCTGGGAAGTTAAATATAGAGACTTTCTGGGAGATTTGGAAACATCTCCCCTGGAGCCATCTGCTTAGATTCTAAGGATAATAAAAGTAGGGACCTTTGCCTCCCCTGAGAGATGGTGTTTACTTTAGAAAGTGAAGGCCTTTCTCGTTCTCCAGGGGGAAGAGGGACAGCTGGCACAGCTGCCCTGTGCAAGCTCTGAGATTCCGATTTCCGCAGTCCCCCTCCTGTGGTACGAGCCCCTGTATGCAGAGGGTACATTGGGCTCTTATCTGTTGCCCTGTGGGGAACTGGAGGATGGGGAACCAATGTCAAGATTGTTATGTAAGTAAATAATTTGTTCTCTGATCCAGAAACCTCATCATCTGTCAGGATTCAATAGAGACATAAACATTTAGTAATTATCTCTTGACGTCATTCTTTTAAGTTTTACTTTCTAATTTTTCTCCTGTCCTTCACGTATACATTTAACTTCGGTTTTTAAATATAGGCATGGTTTTACAGAGCAATTTTTAAAATTCTTACAAGCTACGGCATTCTTTGAACTTGGAGAGAAAAACTGTAATTCTTCAACTTCAAATGTAGTTTCCAAACTCTATTATTAGGAATTAAAATCTTAACTTGAATTTAAAATTTCTCTTTGGTTCTGTTTTCTAAAACTTCTTCACAAAATCTATATTCATTTTTTAATCTCTGCATGTTTGCCTCCCGCCATTCATGATGCTGCTTCTCAGGATCCTTTGCCTGTCTCCCTCTCTCACATGCTCCTTAAATACTGACTTTGCTTCACAAGCCTCTTCCTTATCATTCTGTCTAATCCCCTGGAGGTTTTCAATGGTTTCAACTGTCAGTTATGTGCTAATGACGCCCAGTCCTCTAACTCTAACACAGATGTCTCCCCTTACAGTCCTATTTTATATTCAACTGCCTCATTGATATGTCCACACAGATACCTCACAGGCATCTCAACCTCACAGGCCAGAACTGGAACTCATGACTGACTGTTCCTCCTCAAACTCTTTCTCCGTATATGCTCCCTGATCTTAGGGAGTGGCAACAGATCACCCAAAGCAGAATTTGAGGTTGAGAGTCTTCACTGGTATTTTCGTTGACTAGAAATGTCCCTCTGGGGACACCTGGGTGGCTCAGTCAGTTAAGGGTCTGCCTTTGGCTCATGTCAGGATCCTGGGGTCCTGGGATCGAGTCCCATGTCAGGCTCCTTCATTCATGGGTGGGTCTGCTTCTCCCTCTGCCTGCCATTCCCCCTGCTTGTGTGTGCTCGCTCTCGCTCTCTCTCTCTCTCTCTCTCTGACAAATAAATAAATAAAAACTTTAAAAAAAAAAAAGCTCCCCTGTTTCCCTCAGAAATTATTATAATAGCCTCCTAATTGCTCTCCCTGCCCTGGGCCTTATTTCTACAATCATCTGTTTCTTCCAGAATCATCTTTTAAAAAGGTCAGTCAGACCATCTCATATCTTGCTTAAGTACTCTGCAGTATTCTTGAGATGAAATTCTAGTTTTCCGACATGTCACAGGAAGTCTCTGGAATCTGGGTTCTGACTTCTTTTTTTGAGATTGACCTACCATTTGTACTCAATTTGGTGCTTAATGCTCTGGCTCAAACCTTTAGTACTTGTCATTCTCCAAATTACTTCACATTCTCACCAAAATTCCTTCCTATGAATATCAGGCCCTTTGTCTAGAATGGGTTTAAATTCTAATTATTTTCATTCTTCAGCTGTTAATTATTCTTAAATATATGCTGAGTGCCTACTCTATGTTAGAAACCATCTTCAGGGCTCACAGTGGTGAGGAAATAAAATACAGTTTATGTTTTATGAGCTTATATATTGTGAAGAAAACAGACATTAACTAAGAAATGCTCATCATTCCTTTGACAAGTACTCTTTGACCACGGAGGAGTGAACACTAGGATCCTCTTGACTGGAGCTGGTAGTTCCAGGTTATAGAATAATCTTTGAAAGATAGAGACCAAATATGTTAATTATGCTTGAATTTAATTAATTAATCAATTAATTATTTTAAGAAAGGAAAGAGAAAGATCAAGAGCTACTGTTTACATTGAAGCCTTCCTAGGACCATCAATTCCTGCCTTCCTCTTTCTTTCAGGTATTTGTTTTTAAATAAAATATATCATAGTATGGTTTTGCTCTAAATCTTAATTTCTACTCAGATTCTTTTTAAGAGACTCACTCACTCATTGCAGACCTCCAAACCTCTAAACCTCTTGGATTACCTGTCAGTTTCCCCATGCAGGGAGCTCTGTTTAATGCATTTTAGGAAGTAGACATCTAATAGAGTGTCTTATAGATGATAGGAGGTCAAAAAGCATTCGAGGATGAAGAATCATAGACATACTCAAAAATGTGGTTGTTGGAAAAGATGAATCATGTGTAGAGATGTGAGTATCTTACTGTAGCTGGAATATGGAGAGTTTGGAGGTAGTGATGACTCCAAGAGGAAGCTGATGTCAGGTCAGGAATATGATAGCAGAAGTGTTTAAGAAAGGAAGACGACCTGAATCATGACGCTGGGTTATTTATATCTTCTATAGTCTCTGATGCATATTTATAAAACTCAGGCAACCAATAAACATGAATAAAAAAATTAAACTGATACAAAATTAAAATTTCCTCATGTGAGAATAAACAGAAAACATAAACTGGTTTTAATGTTTGACTTTAAGGTGAAAACCTTTTCCCTTCCACAAATTGGTTAGATAATGGAGTAGGGAAAGACAATAAGAAGGCATCGGATTTTCTCCTGTGATAGATGATACCAGATTAAACAATTAGGATTTAAAATCTCTACAGAGCTCTATGCCATAAAACTAGAGAATATTTAGAAAATTCCCTAATTTGGAGAGTACATTGCAGTTACATTTGTGAAATAGAAACAATATGTGTCTCTAGTCTAGCTGATAAGCATAGGAGAGATCACTGAGGTATTTATTCAGAACTATCTCGAAGAATGGCACTATGACCAATTTCATCATGACTCCTAAAATAAATGTTCTTATCCATAATGATTTTAATTTTTTGAAAATATTATTTATATCACAGACTGGAATAGGCATAAGAATTCAATCATTACTGCCAAATGACTAAAGATAAGTATAAGAGACAAGTTAGACATATAGACAAGGACTGGGTAATATTTAGGAGCAAACTAGTCCTAAAGAAGACAAAGTAACATTCTGTAAGAGTGCGCAGACATCAACATCAACAAGCTCTGGATTAACTAGTATTTCATACATAGTGAGAAGGGGAAATTGTCAACTAACCTTCTCCAAGAGTTAAGAGCAAATGACAAAAAAAAAAAAAAAAAAAAAAGGCTAACAGATCATGAGCTGTGAAATGTCCATGAATCAAGGTATTTAAAGAACCACAACAAAGCCTTTCGTGTAAGGAGAATAGTGAAGTCACATATACTTTTGTACTGTCTTTGGCTGTACAATATAATGTTATTGCATGGTACATTCAAATTAAAAACAATACCAAGTGTTTATATTAAGCTCTACTTATGACATTAAATGTTTGTTAATGCAATCCTCACAAACATTCTATAGGATTTGATTAATAGTGTCATTTTACACATTAGAAAATTGAGGTATAGATTAAGTAACTTGCCCCAAATCACACAGTTAGGAAGTGGTATAAGTGGTACTCAGAGGAAGTACAGATCAGAGCTCAGACCATGGCCTTAGAAGGACCCTTTGGTGTGTGTGTGTGTGTGTGTGTGTGTGTGTGTGTGTGTGTGTGTTTAAAAATCACCTCTAGGTGGAGAATTACAAAAGGGTAAATCAATTAAGCAAGTGTGGCCCTTCTGCCACACCTATTCTAAAAGTTTCTCCCCTTGGAAAAATCTGTTTCTGAAAGGTTTTCCTTTTTGTGGACTGACAGGTTTTTTTGGTCTGGATCCATGGCTTGGCTGAAAAGACGCAGGGTTGGATTTTTACTCCCATTTATGCACCTTCAGACTGGAGGTAAAACCTGTATAATCCCACAGAGATCTGAGATATAGCTCCTTAGTAATCGTGCTTGCACCACCACCACATTTACTTACTGGTAAATAGTTAAACTATTTACCAGTAAGCAGCATCATGGGATTCCATCTGCCTCATATTTCATAATTAATAAATCACGTATCTTGTGGCTCTTCCCTCCTAATTTTTGTTTTCAAATCCAGCCTCCAGCAGCTTCCCCTGTGTTCATTTCTCTACTTCAGGCATTCAGTATCATTTGACTCATTCTCTGCTTAAATCTTATTAATGCCCCTCTTTATTAATAGGGTAAATCCCACATTCTATAGCAGAATGTGAAAAGTTCTTCCCATCCTCTCCTCGCCCCCATTTACAGGATTGTTTTTGTATTTGATATTGACCTTCCTTATATACTCAGACTCTTTTGTGCATTGTGCCCTTTCTCTCTGGAATGCTCAGGCACATTCATGAGCCCAATCGATGCCCACTGGCTCTGTCTTCGAAGATACCTCCAGTAGAGTTTAGTTCCTTCCTTGATGCTACCACAGGCCTTGTTGGAGAGTTCATTGTATGGGAAGGTTCTTACTTATATGCATATCTCTTTCCTCCACCTGATTGTGAATTGCTTGAAGCAGCAGATATATCCCATGCATCTTTGCATTCTTAGAAAACAGATGAAATCCTGGTTTGTAGTGTGCTCCCAGAAATTCTTACTGATTGATTCACATAATGGCTGTTTGTCTTATTTATAGCAGAGTATTTTTGTACACAAATATGGCACCTTTTCCAGAAATTGTAACTTATAAATTACCTAGAAATTAGCATGAAAAATTTAATGATAAATAAAAGAAGGTAAGGAAGGGTGAGTCAACAAGTCGGCATTAGACTCCCAAAGTAAGTGTTCTTTTGATTGTTATCCTCATTCAACGGGTAATAATACTGAGGCCGATGTTAAATAACTTGCCCCAACCCACACAGGTTTCACGTGGTAAAGGTGAGTGTGAATCCAGAGCTCCAACTTTTTTCAATGAACATAAAGTAAATGAGGGGGCATAATAAAGTCATTTAAAAAGGCAAGTCCAATGGGCTTATAGTATATGAAGGAGGAGGACATAGAAGTAAAAGAGAAAGAAGAAAAAATTAATAATGCACGCTTATTCTGTAACAGCCATTTTAATTATGTCACCTCATTTACTGCTCATACCAACAGCACAAGATAGAAATGATTAGTCTCATTTTATAGCTAAGGCACAAAGAGGCAGAGAATCAGGTCAAGTTCACATAACTAGTAAGTGATGGAGGAAAGAAGTGAGCCCAGAAAACACTACCCAATAAACTCCTCCCCAGCAACTCAAGTTTTAGTCTCACAAACTAATCATCAGAAAGGACACTCGACACTTTCCATTACAATCATAGTTGAAATCCTATGACCACAGTGCATAAACAAACTGTATTTCTTGAGATTCCATGTTATTTACATCACTGTCATCTGAGGTAATTCATGTGCACTTTCCATCTCCTCTTCACTCCTTTACACCTTCTTCATCACATGGGGTGGGTAAGTTGAATTTTAAGCATAACCTTTTTTTCTTGCTGTAGAATAAGGGCCAATATTTACATCTTACTATTAAAATTGATGTTGCACTTGAAGAACTTACAACTTTTTAAGAAAATTCAAATCTTATTCATAAAACTAAGACAAAAAAAACTACAAATATTCATTAATTTATATAATTGTACCCATCATATACCAGAGTTCTTATATATTAAAATGTATATGTATTATATGTAAACACCATGTAAATGTAATATATAATATATTCTATATTTAGTATAAATATTATGTATAAAAATATATAAGAGAAGTTCTTTTTGGTATCAATCTTATACTTCTCTTAACTGTTCAACAGAATTATACAGTCCAGTATCATTAATGTATCTTCCTTAGATCAGCTACATCAGCAACATCTGATAAATTTGTTATAAATGCAAATTTAGGATCTTCCCTAATATTCCTACTTTAGAATTTCTGGGGATGGAGAAAGCCTTCCACTTAATTCTTTTGCAGCTGAAAGTTTGAGAACTGCCACAGTTACCAGAATTTTATACTCGTACGGGGCTACAAAAAAAACAGATACATTACTTGTTTGTAGAAAGATGGATAAATAGACCTTAAAGATATACTTAAGGATCATTACAAAGAAAATAAGAATTGGACAGATATGCACTTAACAAGAGACTGCCTGGGGCTCCTGGGTGGCTCAGCTGGTTAAGTGTCCTGGATCAAGTCCCACATCAGACTCACTGCTCAGTGCAGAGTCCGCTTCTCCCTCTCTGCCTGCCGCTCCCCGTGCTTTGTGTTCTCTGTCTGACAAATAAATACAATCTTTTAAAAAAAATTTTTAAATACAAAAAAAAAAAAACAAAAAAACAACCCTGTCTATCTCCTATATAGATGCATAACCTCCTTAGTTAAGACAGTACCTTCTTTTCTCTTAAGGTCATCAAGGGCATTAACCTCAATGCAGGGGGAAAAATTACCAAATTATCATTCTATTCTTAAAATATAGCTTCCTGTCCATGAAATTGGTAGGTAATGCTCTTTCTGAATGTTTTGGTGAATGCTGGCAACATTTTAATTGAACAAATTCTAGAAACTCTGGCTTTTCCAACTTTGGGTATTTTTGAACCTGACAGATCTGAACTCTGCACTAAGAGACTCAGGTGGCCATTTTAAGAATTAGATGAAATGAACATGAGTTCACCTCCATGTTAGTATTTTCTAGATCAGATCACTAAATTGCTTGAATTGTTCATGTAAAGCCCAATTAGACACTCTTTATTTTTTACTAATACACTAATCATTTTGAAAGAAAAAATTTTAAAAAGGAAAGAAAAAGAAATGGGGAAAAAGAAAGGCAGGAAGGAGAAGATATTTCAGTTCAAAAAATATCCCCCAAAGTACAAAATAATTCAGATTGTCATTGAAGAATAAACATGTTTTACATAAATTCTGCGGTTTGGAAAAGACTGATATTGTACAAAATCTGGGGGAGTGACGGGTGTATGAGATTTCAGGCACTGTCGTGTTGAAAGGGATGAAGAGAAAGAGATTCTATTCTGCTCTATTTATATCAAACTATATTAGTTTGAGCTGAAATAATTTCAATGCTTTGAAAGTAATATTTTGATCTATGTAATGTTATCGGTTAGTTGTAACTGATAAAAATAGATTTTGGTTGCCAAAATTTAAATAGTGTTTAAGGTAGAATTTCATTAGAAGCAGAAAGATCAGAAGTGAGAGCAACAATGGTGAGTAATTTTGAAGCATCATTCAATTTAGATGCAATAAAATTGGGCGACAACTTCAAATTGTGACATTGTTTTATGACTATAAATTTGATATTATCTATGTATTTTATACCCATCTATCAATAAAGTGATGAGGAGGTGAATATCACATATACATAATGCTCTAAAGGTAACATTATTAGTAAAATTAATAGCAATCAAAGGCATACCAGTATTTATCAGAACTTATGCTTTATCAACAATATAAACAATAGTTACCTTTACAAATGCAACAATTTTCAAAGAGATCGTTGCCAAATATAAGGAATTCATCACAAAATCCATTAGATTCCACCAATCATGGATGTAATCTTGAAGTCCACCATCCCACATTTGTTTAATTTCTCCCCATATAAAACCTGCAATTACAGAAAGATTCATCGTAAGTGTGATTTTCAATCAAATTACTAAAAATCGAGATATGCAACTTAAAAATTATAGAATATCAGGGCTGCAAGAGACTATATTGTTTCACTACATGAAACATCTATTTTTTAAAGACAGTAATATTCAGTCTCAGCCAGACTCTAAAACTTACAGGACACTGAGCTAATTGTAGAGAATGCTCTTAGGGCAGTTTCCCTTTCTTTTATTCATTTGATACATTCATAAGAAGGTGCAATTTTGGAATCAACTGTAATTTCTCTGTAAGTATATATATTTCTTATGGAAAATCTGTTAACACTTATAAACAAATACTTAAAGACACATTTCCTCCAAAGTTGAGATGACTCAAAGATTCATGAGGAAACAGTGTATCTGGTGAACATAACTGTCTTAATTACATCAAGCAGGATGCTTTGTTTTGCTTTTGTAACTGATTAGCAACTTCAGGGATGTGATTTCAGTTCTGAACACAAAACAGTCATAACATGCATGATATTGCATTAGAAGACCTTATATCTAGCAATAGCTTTGAAACTACATCCAGAGAAAATAAAAATCCTTTCCCTTTATAATGGTTATATTTTTAATAGGAAATGTTTTAATTTTCAAATTCTAGGAAGTGCTTACGAAATATCACTATATATCATTTTATTTCCATAATCTTATTAAAATTTTATAAATCTAATTTTCAGGACCAATGATGAAAGAGAGAGATATCAAAGGGTGTAGAATCAGGAAATAGTAAAAGGATAAATATGATTTCATAACTACATTAACATAAGCAAGTAAGATGACTCTATTAAGATAATAATAGTCTGGAATGTCAAATGTGTAGCACAGTGTTTCATATCTGTCTTGTACTAAAAGCCAGAAAAAATCAGGTTAACTATAAAATCATAACCTTTCATGGATCTATCAAAGAGATGGGAAACCAAAGAGCCTATACTTCTAAGGAAAGCAGTTTCCTCCAAAGATAGCCTCAGGGTGAGTATTAGCTCACCTGTGGCAGAGTGCAGGTGGGAGAGACAAAGGCATCATATAAGAGGGTAAGAGGATTTCAGAAAAACTTTTAAACAAACTTCTAAAGGCTGAGTCTGAGCTAGCACAAGAGAATAGAGCCCCTGAGACAAAGACACAAGGGAGTTTCCAGCTCCTTGAGTGCTCTTTCTCATGGAGTACTCGTCTTCCTTAGGGAACACCACACGTGAGCCCTATGGGAAAAACAGGAAATGGTCCTGGGCGGAGGGTTGACACCAGTATCATTCGAGGTTTCTTACCACAGGGGGAAGGTCAGGAAAGTCTCCTCTCTCATGACCTGCAAAGTGTCATTGCCCTTGAGTAGTAAGATATGGCTCACTGAGAACTTCCATCCCTAATGCCCAGGCATCGTCCTACCCAAGTCTGATCCCAGACCAGGACAACAGAATCTGCCTGTTTTACATCACCAGGCCAACAAACACCAGTGACAATCGGAAGCAGACAACCCCTGGAGGAGTGGCGAGAGCATGGAGAGAACCCCTCTGAGGCACAGGTGCACAGAGGAGGCCAAAAGGTGTGGGTGCTGCAAGAATTCTGAGAATTACCTTCTTTCCTACTTATCTTGGTCAGTTGAGGCCACTCTAGCTAAGTATCACAGAGCCCCACTCTGTGATAATAATAAAACTTCATTTCTCATAGCTCTGAAGGCTGCAAGTTTATGATCACAGTATCAACATGGTCAGGCTCTGGTGAGAACCCTTTTCCATACTGTAGATACCGACTTCTCTTTCTATCCTCACATGGCAGAAAGAGAGCAAGCTATCTCTTCTGGCCTCTTTGTATAAGGGCATTTATCTCATTCATGAGGACTCTGCCTTCATGACGTAAGTTGCCTCCCAAAGGCCCCACCTCCAAAAGCCATCACATTGGGGCTTAGGATTTCAATATATGAATTTGGAGGGGACTCAGACATGCAGTCCATAGCACCACCTGAAGCAGAGTCTATGGTGCCCTGAAACTCACTGTAGCAATGAAACTCAAACCTGGCTCAGCTCCTGACAATATTGCCTCAAATTCCTGCATGATGTTCTCGCGGAAGAAAATGGTGCGTCCATTTTCAGGCATCAATGCAATGTACTTCTGTCTGGCCTTCTGCACAGGTGGAATAAACACAGTCTCCAAATACACACATGCATGCATACTCTGATACATCATATTCAAAGTGTTTTTAAAAAGATAAAGAAAAAATAGTGATGGCATCAGGAGTGGGAGTCGGGTGGAAATAAAAGACACATGGCATTCAAAGGAAGAAATCGAAGCCTGACATCAAATTTGTTGTCTGAACTATGTAAGACAGGTGACATTATTACAGCATTGAAAGAAAAAAAAGTCTGCACAGAAGTCTATACAAGGCACAAATAACTCTCATAATTGAGGATGATTCAAAGACATTTTTTCAGACAATCAAACACTCCGTTTACATGAGACCCATGCTACAAGAATTGCTGAAGGGACATATCCTAGGCAGAAGGCACATGATACTGAAAAAAAAAATTAGGTCTATAAAAAGAAATGAAAATCCATATCCAGGAATGGTTAAAAAGAAAATAAATGTAAAAGATATTTTTTCTTTTGGAATTGCTCTAACAGATCATTGCCTAAAGCAAAAACAGTAGCAAAGTATTGTGGTTTATAACATATATAGCATATGGAAAAGTAAAATGACAACATTAGCACAGAAGATGAGAGAGAGAGGAATTAGAAACATACTATCATAAATTCTTAGGTTACTTGTCAGTAAAATAAATATTATTTGAAGTTATATTGAACAAAATCTTATATTGTAAACCCTAAGGCGTTCTCTTAAAATATTTTTAAATGTAGGTAGGGGTACCTGGTGGCTCACTCAATTGAGCATGTGACTCTTGATCTCAGCTCAGGTCCTCATCTCAGGATTGTGAATTCAAGCTCCAAGTTGGGCTCCATGCTGGGCATGGAGCCTATTTGAAAAATATATTTTTATATACTATCTATATAAAAGAGATAGGAAACCAAAGAACCTATACTTCTAAGGAAAGCAGATTCCTCCAAAGAAAGCCTCAGGGCTCACTGTGGCAGATTGCAGATAAACACACACACAGACCCACACACATATATATGCACACACATGTACATGTATATATGTATATATACATATTTAAATGTATAAAGAGCCAGAAATATAAATAAACATGAAATTATGAACAATATTCAATATGACAACAGGCAGAAAAAAAATGTAAAGTGCAACAAAGAATGGATAGAGCCAGTAGGAAAAACAATATGAATGGGGTAGATTTCAAATCCATCAATATTAATAATTACATTGAAGTGTATGGTCTTAAAAAATGTATGGTCTAAACACACCAATTCAAAGACAGAGATGGTCATATAGAAAAATGCAAAACACAGCTATATTCCAATTCATCAACAGGTTAAAAATAAAAGAATAATAAAGACATGTGAAATACTAATCAAAAGAAAACTAAAAAAAAACAAAAAAGGAAGGTGGGTTGGCTATATTAATATGATTAAATATATTTCAAAAGAAAGACTGTTACCAGGTAGGTAGAGGGATATACTAACATATAGGTGAAAAGGCCAACTCACTGAGAAGACAGAACAATTCTAAATATGAATGCGGCTAACAATACAACCTTATAATGCAGGATGCCATAATTAAAATTGAAACAACAAAGAGAGAAAGGAATAAGTACAGTCGATGGAGACCTTAGTATTCCTCTCTGTAGCATCTGTAGGCAGAAGTTTGGTAGGAATATTGAATTCTGAACAACCCTATCAACAACCTGACAGTGGTAGAACACACTTTTTTTTTTTTTTTCAAGTACATGCATGTGTAGTATTCACCAAGAGAGACCATAACATCATGGGCTATAAAACAAACCTTAACATATTTATACAAGTGGAAATCATACAAAATGTGTTCTATGACAATATAATAAACAACAAATCAATAATGAAATGTATTTGGAAAATCCCCAAATATTTTGCAATCAAACAACATACTTCTAATAACCCTAGATCAAAGAGGAATTTGCAGATTTTTAGAAAATATTTTGAAATGATTGAAAATGAAAATACATCCAAATAAATCTGGGATCCTGCTAACATAGTACTTAGAGTGGAATCTATAGGTTTAAAGACTTTATTAGAAAGGAATAAAAGTCTCAGTGATCTCTGCTTCAACTATGACACAATGAAAAGAAAAGCAAACATGTTAAATCCAAAACAAGCAGAAGAAAGTAAAAGAGATAAGTGCAGAAGGCAATAAATTTTAAAACATAAACCTTGAGAAAAATCCATGAAAACAGAATCTAGTTCTCTGAAATGATCAGTACAACTGATAAAACTCTAGCCAGAATGGTCAAGGAAAAAAAAGAGAGAATATATAAATGATCAATATCAGAAATGGAAGAAGGGGCATCAGTACAGATCTTAGGACATTTTAAGGACAACAAGTGAAAAAAATGAACAACTTGATATCCATAAATTTCACAACTTAAATGAGTTGGAACATTTTCCCTGAAAGACATTAACTCCTAATCTCATTCAAGAGTATACAGAGTAACCTGATTTGTCCTATACTTATTAAAGTATTATGAATTCATAGTTAAAAAACCTTCCACCAAAGAAAAATTCAGGTCCAGTTGCCTTATGGTGAATTCTACCAAACATTTAAGGAAGAAATAATACTAGTGCTAAGAACACAAGAACAAATACTTAAGAAAATACAAGAGAAAGAAACATCTAAGAGGCAAGCAAGTGTTATTCTGATAAAAAGTCTGACAAAAATAATACAATCAAAGAAAACTACACACTAATAACTTTTATGAATGTGCAGAAAAATCCTCAACAAATATGAACTAGTAAATTAAGTAGAGCAATATATAAAATTGATAATAGCTGTTTTTCCACGATTGCAAAACTGTTTCAA